CCATTTGTTAGGAAATGGAAAAACTTGGAAAAAATTATATTAAGTGAAGTAAGCCATGCCCAAAGAAACGTAGGTCCCATGGTTTCCCTTATTTGTAATATCTAGTATATGTATGAGTCAAGCGGAAAAGGTCAGATAATGTGATGTCAGGAAAATGAACCCTTAGATGTGTATTTTAATGTTTTTTTTCTTTCATGCATGTGTTTCTAACACATTTATAAGATTATCTCTTTGTTGCTTTGTATGTCCCTCCTCCACAGTATAACCCCCGCTTTCACTATATTTGATGTCCGTATAACTTGTGGAGGAGATGGGGAAAAACCAGTTGTTTAAGGATACAGGTGGACCTGTTGCAACAATGAGAAATACAAGTTGTCATGTCCAAAACGAGCTTTACAACGTTGGTGCAGGGGGGGGGGGGGGGAGAAGGATTGGGATTAGGGGGGGAAGGGGGAGGCTGGGAAGGGATGTGAAGGATAAACAAAGGAGGAGGCTGCAATGCTTGGTAAGAAATGTACGCATTATCCTGCCCATGTAACTGTAACTCCTCTGTACAGTATGTTCACAAATAAAATTAAATTAAATTTTAAAAAAAAAAAGAAAGAAAGAAAGAAAGAAAGAAAGAAAGAAAGAAAGAAAGAAAGAAAGAAAGAAAGAAAGAAAGAAAGAGCAAAGGGAGAATGGCCAGGCCCTGAGTTCAAACCCCCAGGACCAGTGTGTGGGAAACACACACACACACACACACACACACACACAAATGTGTTTCCTGTCCTTGATCTTTAGCCAAAACCTTCTTGCAACATTAACTAAAGGGATCTACAGAAATGTACTGGATCTAAGATGAATCACTACCCTGCTGCCATGTTTGATACTGAACCAAGAATCTCTGCCTGTCACATGTATCGACAATGCACCAAATTTTCCCACATTTTGCTACAAACACACAGTGGAAGTTAAAACCACAGATATAACCAGGAATGCACATAAGATGCAACTACGAATGCAAACAAAGTTGGTGAGCATCCACTAGGACACTACCTCACTACCAGCATCTTGGAGCCAAAGGACCCCCAAATGGGGCTTCCCTCATCTGAGGGGTCCTGTCCACCCAGGCTTGTCCACGTGGCCATGTTCATCCCAGATTCCATCCCTGGGACTTCATGCAGCACCCTGACCTCATCGCTGCTCTGCGCATGCTGTGGTGGGGCCTGCCCTCCTCCCTGCCTTTCTCAGCCTAGTAAACTTGCAGTTCAGTGACATCGGCACAATCTGCTAATCAAAATGTCACCATGTCTTTCACTGGCCAGTCAAGACCACGGACATGCCATCAGGCACAGCAAGTTAAAACACAAAAACCAGCAGGGAGCTGTGACTCAAAAGTCCCCATGAGACTCTTATCTCCAATGAACCATCCCAAAACCAGAAGTGATACTTTGGCTCCAAGTGGTAGAGGGCTAGCCTTGAGCAAAAAGAGCTCAGGGACAACGCCCAGGCCCTGAGTTCAAGCCCCAGGACCACCAACACCACACACACACACACACACACACACACACACACACACACACACACACACACACACACACACACACACACACACACACACACACACACACACACACACACACACACACACACACACACACACACACACACACACACACACACCAAAGCCAATGTATACCAACTTTAGAAATGCCATAAGTGTTTGTGTTGGAAAACCCAGATGCAACTGAAGTTCACAAAGAAAAAGAGAAAAACCTATTCTTGAGTTTTAACAATCATGTTTACTTAAACAATTTATAAAATGAGGACCATCTCTTGCTTTGCCTTTGTAGTCTATAGGATACAAGAAATCTTGGGTGTTTATCCCGTGTTGATCTACTTAAAATGGTTTCTAAGTTACTGGTTTCATGATATTCCCGCAATTGTTCTTAAATTGTTCTTAAATGAGCGAAAATTATACCTTGCATTTACTTTTTCCATCACTTACAGGAAACTGGCTGCAAAGAGTCGATTCTGGGTTCTGTTATTCAGGATATTGAGGGGTTTTATTTTGTCTTCAATTTAACAGGTGCAATTTTAGGGGCTCACATTTTCTACATTTTCATAAGATGTTTTCACAGCAAACTACTTTGTGTAACTCACATTTTATGAACATTAGGCTATAAATTTCACTCTGAAGAAATGTTTTAATGTGTTTTTTTTAAAGAGTACATCACATACCTGTCAAGTTTTATATTTCTATTAAGTGACCTATATAAATAATAAGTAAGGCATTTTGGCTTTCTCCTTAAAGAATAATGGTAAGAAACAAGAGAGGATTTCTGTGACTTCTCTCAGATATGGAGGAGTCATTGCTCTCTTTGGTGAAGAGACATAGGGTCAAATGAAGGGAAAACGAAAGAATCCACATCAAAGCTTTTCCCTCCATGCTGATTAGTTTTATTGTATTTCCTCCCAAACCAACAGCACTTGAGTTTTATTTCCCTTTCTACCATGTACTTGCAGAATTCTAAATAGGTTTCCTAACCCTCTTTTGTAGATTTATATCATCTAAAACAGACTGTGAAGCTCTTAAAAGAAATTGGCATGTTTTGTATAATTGCTACACATCCCATTATATCTACAACAAAACAAAAAAACAAAAAAAAAAAACTGGGCACCAAGAAACAGAACAAGTTGGGAAGCACACATTTGTGAAATGTGACAATTGGTTAAATTCTTTACATGGCACACCAGCCCAGAACCTTTTTCATTTCTTCATATTTTGCACTTCATTCATTCCTCCCATGAATATTTAGTATTTGTCTACAACATGCGAGGGGGTTGTAGGGAGGCACAGTCTTTATCTGCAGGTAGTTCATGCTCAAGAAGGTAGGCATGATCGGAGCCCACAGATTTCCTGTGTTCTAACCCAATAACACTGCTTTAACAGCATCATGATTGATGCTCCGACGTTACTTTTATTGGTTTAGATAATTAAAAATATCACCATACCCCTAATTCACCCTGACCACCTCATCTTTAACAGCATTTCAAAAAAGAGAAAAAAGGAAGCAATTGGAAATGCCTACATCTGGTTTTCTCCAAGCTTATTGAACAGAAATACAGCAATTCTCATGGTAGAAAAAAAAATACCAAAAACATACATTTTAATTAGCCCCACTAAGTATTAGCAGTCATTAGTCTCTACTTATCTAGTTTAAAATCCAATGCTTAATTTAGAAAAAAAGGACTAAAAGATAAGCCAAACACCTAGTTAAAGTAGTTAAAGTAAATACCTCATTAAGCTTTCATTGTTATTGGTTCATGATTACCAATTGTTTTAGTTCTACTCTGAATGGTTCTCATAGAATTAGCTCAACCATCACATTTAGGTGGGGGCGGGCGTAGGTTTTCATTCTACTACACAGCTTTTGCTTTGATTTGGATTTCAAAGCAGGTTTTCTTTAATCATGCTTCTAGGCAACTCCTTCCATCCCACTGTTCTCTCCAGAGAAAGACTGGCCACCTCTTCTCAATTCAATTTACATCAATAAACACGCACTGAATGGCCACCAAGAGCTTCCCAGATGCAAAGGTGAGTGAATCACATTCCATTTCTTCAATGAGTTTATAATGTACAACAGAGTTCTGGGAAGTTTAAAAAAAAAAAAAAAAAAAAAAAAGAGGCAATTGACAGGTCAAAGAAAATTATCATTCTGTGCCCAAATAGGCTTCCAAATTATCTGTGTGCTAAGAATAATGCTTCATTAAGTTACTCATTTTCTCTAGTTTAACAAGCTCAGCCAGAGGGGGGAAAAATAGTTCTTTGATTGCAGTGTGTTTTTCCTGGCTCACAGAAGACCCAAACAAATGCTTTTCTACATGAACAAAAAATGCTTCTCTTTATCATCAAGTAAATTCCTTTTAGCTTCCTTTGTCCACCAAGTGTTTATATGCAAGCAGTCAGCTACAAATGCATACATATATAATATATACAGATAGTATATGTAGAATATATGTGTGTATAATACATACATGTATGTATGTATTGTATTATTATATATAATATTATATGTACATACATATAAATGTATATAAAACCTCTCTCCTAGTCTTGTCTTATCATTGCATTTCTATCACAACAGCAATTTACATACTTCAAAGAGAATAGAGGAAGGTATGAGAGTTATATAAGACTTAATATAACTTTATAATGTTATACACTGTATGCTATATAATATATATAGCATGTATTTTACATATAGGCTGAACATATACTATACATACTAAGGTGTATATGTATGTGTGTGTTTATATATATTAATATATAAAGGTATATTAAATAAAACTCCAAACACAACCCTATATATAAACCTCCATATTCAAGAAACAGGGTTCCAGAAACCATAGTCATCAGAGGAAATAATAAAAGATATTCTTTTGATTATCTCTAAACAACACACAAAATGACCCCCTCATTAGTTCACAAAACTTAACATTTTTACACATCTTATTTATTAGGTTTCTACACTACTTATTCAACTGACTGGATTTGTATCTATTTTTGAAGACTCCATAAATTTGTCTCTCACATTTTTTTTGCAAATTAGCCCTGAATCATACCAAATGGTAAATATTTTCTGCACTGTCTCTTAGAAAATGTTTTTAAAGTTGACAGGTACATGGTTCATTCCTGTCATCCTAGCTTCTCAGGAGGCTGAGGTCTAACAGATTCTTGCTCAAAGCCATCCTAATAAGAAAAGTTTGCTAGATGCCCCCCCATCTCCAAAATAATCAGCAAAAAGCAGGGCTGGAGGCATGGCTTAGGTGGCAGAGCACCAACCTAAGCAAGCACAGGGCCTTGAATTCACAACATCCCAGTATTGACTGCCAAAAGCATACCAAAAAAAAAAAAAAGTGAATATTTTCAAGTTCTAGAGATTCGGCATCTACATTCTTTAAGAGAGTAATACTTCTTTCCCAGAGAATTGATGGCTTTCAGGAAAGAAACATACCCAGACGCTGTCTTCCTGTCGGTACTGTTTCCAGTTCCGGCCACTGTCACTGAACATCAGCAGGTAGCTGGTCACCCAGTTGGAGCTCCCGTACCCGCCTTGGGTGGCCACAGAGGTGACCTCCATCCTCTCCCCAAGGTCAATCTGCAGCCACTGGTATTTATTGGACACCAGTGGGGACCAGCCGCCGGCTCCTTTTGGGAAAATAGAAACAGGAGATCACATGAACAGTCTTGTCAACACTTGGAGCACACAGCTTCACCCCCGTGCCCTGGTTACAATCAATCCTTTGATCCCTGTGCCCAGGGACGCATAGAAAGAAATGCCTTCCGGTACTGGTGAAACTAGCAAATGACCTTTGTTCCTGATTAGACTTCTTAGAGAAGGAGCTAAAGGATACTGTCAGGTCTTGGAAAAAGCCAAGCTGGTCATGGATCAGATCTGTCCTCGGGATGTTTACCGTCTTCACAAGAGGGCAGACATCAAAAACGTATGTTTGAACTACAACAGGAAAAGCAGTGATGATTACAGGCATGCAGAGCCCTGGCCCAGGGACAAGAAAATGTTTGCTTGGTGCTGGTTGGCAACGCTATGTCAGAGACGATTGTTAAATGTTCAGTTTTCCAAGCCAGTTATTAAACACAACCACCTTTGCCCCGGCCGTGCGTGGGCCTGGTTGGCATGTGCGCATACTCAGTCATTTGTGAAGGGGAATTCATCTGATTCAAAGTGACATCTGTCACCTTGTCCTCAATGGCCAGCATGCTCCTCAACCCCGCCTGCACCCCAGGAAGATTCTCCAGGTTATTTACTGCATTGTCTTTTAAAAATTGGTACTGTTCCAAATTTCCTTTCCCCTAATGTACATTATGGTTCAGAGTATAGCTCACCAGGCATAGGGGTTCGTCCTTATAAACCCAGCCATACTGGAGGCAGAGATAGGAGGATCGTGGTTCAAGGCCAGCTAGGGGTGGAGGAAGCTAGAATGATGCTAGAATGATGCTTTATGACAGTAACTCCAGCCATTCTATAAGCAGAGGGAAGAGGATTTCAGGCTGAGGCCAATTCTGGGCAAAATTGCAAGAGGCTATCTGATAACTAAAAGCAGAAGGACGGGTGGGTGTGGCTCAAGTGCTAGAGCACCTGCCTAGCTAGCAGGAGGCCCTGAGTTAAAGCCTCCATTGCCAGAAGGAGGCCCTGGGTTCGATTCCTCAGCACCACATAAGCAGAAAAAGCTGGAAGCGGTGCTATGGCTCAAGTGTAGAGCGCTCACCTTGAGCTGAAGAGCTGAGGGACAGTGCCCAGGCCAAGTTCAAGCCCCACGACCAACAGAAAAAAAGAAAAAGAAGTAAGAAGTGTATTCCACTCCATCTATTGGGATCTCCATGCCTTCCTTTTGGGATCCAGAATATTTGTATGCGTTGCAATTTTCGTGTGTTTTTCCTTGTAATTGTCTCTGTATTTACCCTTGAAGAATTTCCATCTGGGTTGGACCTCTCTTGTACACCAATATTATCTACCTTGCTTAGACAAGAGTAGAATGTGAACCGTGAGCCCTATGTCAAGTAAACAAGCTTGTGGGATGGCCTTCAGCTCTGGGCGACTTTGGGACATGGATCTCCACTTGTAGCGTTACTGTTTGCAACCCACAAGGGGTGTTTCTAACTCCTACAGCCTGTCACCTGTGTGAAATGGTTCTTGAATAAGCTGAAAAATCACCCTTGACCTAGTGCTGTGTACAAATAGCTTGGGCGGGGGGGGGGGGGGGGGGGGGGGGGGGAGCCGTTGTCTTGAACCCTGGAAAGGAATGGTTTCCCCTTCGCATTCTTTTTAAGCCTGAACCCGCTCTGCTTCATTGTTTAGGCTCTGATGACACAATGGCCAGTTTCCTGCACTTAGTCCCTGCAGTACTGCGTGGGGTCTGTTGAGCAGGTGAGCACTCGTATTTGGTGACACAATCCACGCTGCTGCTAAGGAACTCCCAAAGCAACCTGGTTAGTAAATGATGACTCACATAAGAGAGCCCGAGTTAACCTGTTCTTGCCCAGGATCGCAGACAAGAGGCCTGGTGCTCTTGAGGACACAGAAGGGCCTGACCTATTGTCGTGGAAACTGGCAATTGTCAGTGGACTTGAAAACGCACAGTACTGGCTGCAGGATGAGAGTGCTTTCAGATGTGGTTGTTAGACAGTATGGTCAGTAGCTCCACCCCCTGGTTCACAACAGGCCCCTCCCCATTCTAGCCAAACTTAGCATTTTAATTCATGACCTAGGAGGGGACAGAACACAATCAAGAATCCAATGTATATCCTACAAAATGAAGAAGAGGGGAGGGAAGCAGTGGGTAGGGGAGGGATGGGTGAGGGTGTTGAGAGGGGCAACAGTGATCAAGATATATTGTGTTCATAAACTGTTTTGTTCAATGGCAACTCCTCTGGACAACTACTTAAAGATAATTTTTGAAAATTTTTTTAAGTCTTCTACAGTCTGATACTAACTAAACACCTCCATTTCTGGTATTGCTGTAACCGCATAGCTCTGAATTCTTTCTTTATTTATTTGCTTATTTATTTACTTATTTATTTCGTCTGTCACAGGGCTTGAACTCAGGGCCTGGGTACTGTCCCTAGGCTCTTTTGCTCAAGGCTTTGAGCCACAGTGCCACTTTCAGTTTTCTGGTTGCTAATGGGAGATAAGGGTCTCATGGTGACTTTTCTGCCCAGGCTGGCTTTGAACCAGAATCCACAGATCTCAGCCTCCTGAGTAGCTAGGATTACTGTATAGGAGTGAGACATTGGCACATGGCTGAATGTTTATCACTTTTTCTTAGAGGGTGACGGGGAGTAGTACTAGGGCCTGATGCACTTGCTTAGCTTCTTTTTGCTCAAGGCTGATGCTCTACCACTTGAGCCACACCTTCAGTTCCAGCCTTTTGCTGGTTGTTTTTATTTTTTATTTTTTGGGGGGTCCAGTCATGGGGCCTGAACTCTGGGCCTGGGCGCTGTCCCTCAGCTCTTCAGCTCAAGGCTAGCGCTCTACCACTTGAGCCACAGCGCCACTTTTGGCTTTTTTCTTTTTGCTTATGTGGTGCTGAGGAATCGAACCCAGGGCCTCAGGCATGCAAGGCAAGTGCTCTACCACTGAGCCACCTTCCCAGCCCCTTGCTGGTTGTTTGGAGATAAGAATCTCACAGATTTGGCTGCTTAGGCTTGCTTTGAGCTTGGATCCTGAAATCTCAGCCTCCTGAAGAGCTAGAATTACAGGCATGAGCCACTGGCACCTGGCACTTTTTAATCATCTTTTTTTTAACCTTGGAAACTTAGCAAAGAGTAGCACCTGCAGACAGCTACCATCATAACTGGGAAGTTCTACTTGGAAGATTTTATCTATACCATCTTGTCCGTCTACGGGGAAACTGCTGATCAATTTGTTTCTTGTTCTTTCTAGCTAATTTTAATGACTTGAAATCAATACTGAGGATGCGTATTGCTCTTATCTGGGATTGTATGCTATTTCTCCAGCATTTCTGCCCGGTTTTGTAGACCAGTATTTAAATGCTGGTTTTATAGACCAGTATTTAAAAAGCAACCAGAGGGAGGCACAGTAAGGGAAAAGGATCCTAGGGGGTGACGATGAGATGATCCGCTCTCCTCTGAGGGCGGCAGAGGGCTCCCCGGCCCTGGCCTCTGTGCAGTGTCACTCGGAGTGACAGCCCCCCCAGCGCCGGAAGCACTCACAGTTAATTGACCTTGAACATTTCAATTTCTTACCTGTGGTGAAAAGGTACTACTGGTATGCAAATTAAGCTATGTCATTAACAAGGTACACTGATAAAGTAATGGAAATTCAAACGCTCCTAGGCTGAGCCAAGTTAATTTCGGCAGGAGAAGTCAGCCATGGGGAATCCTGAGGTTCCTGTGGGGTTTAAAGTTCCGCAGCTGTGCACGGGAGGAGCCTGGGAGGAGCACGGGAGGCAGAGCGGTGGGCTCTAGCTTAAAGGAGAAGGTGGATGGAAATATGGAAAATAGGTGATCGATCAATAGAGATGATAGATAATAGAAAAATGACAGATACATAGCTAGATCTATAGAAATAGATAGATGGATATGATATATAATACAGATAGAAAAATGACAGATACATAGCCAGATATATAGAAATAGATAGATATGATATACAGATAGAAAGATGACAGATACATAGGTAGATAGAGATAGACAGTAGACAGATCATAAATACATAGATATGTAGATTGATACATTGATGACAGATAGATAGATGAAAGATGATTAATACATACATAGATACAAAGGCACACAGAGGGATAGAGGATACAAAGACAGACACAGGGGGCTGGGCAGGTGGCTCAGTGGTAGAGCGCTTGCCTTGCATGCCTGAGGCCCTGGGTTCGATTCCTCAGCACCACATAAGCAAAAAGAAAGAAAGCCGAAAGTGGTGCTGTGGCTCAAGTGGTAGAGCACTAGCCTTGAGCTGAAGAGCTGAGGGACAGCGCCCAGGCCCAGAGTTCAGGACCCATGACTAGACCCCCCCCCCAAAAACAAACAAAGACAGACACATAGATGATAGACAGATAGATGATAGATACATATATACATACACAAATATATGCATACATATATAGAATACAGATAGATTGATAGACATAGATGATAGATAATAGACAGAAAAATGACAGATACTTAGATACATAGAGATCGCTAACAGAGAGAGATGATAGATAATAGACAGAAAGATGACAGATATAAACACTCAGGTAGATGATAGATGGACAGATAGAGATTATACAAAGACAGATACATAGCTGGATAGTAGATAGAGACATGGATAGATGATAGATAGATACATAGATAGATACATAAATAGATACATAGATACATAGATAGATACATAGATAGATACATAGATAGATAGACAGACAGACAGACAGACAGATGATAGATACATAGATAGAACATAGATAGATACATAGATAGATACATAGATACATAGATAGATAGATGCATAGATACATAGATACATAGATAGATACATAGGTACATAGATAGATACATAGATACATAGCTACATAGATAGATACATAGATACATAGATAGATACATAGATACATAGATAGATACATAGATACATAGATACATAGATAGATAGATACATAGATACATAGATAGATACATAG